TTTACTTTGTAAAGATTGTTAATATAATGACAGTAAATTTTTTATTTAAATAAAGTCTCGCATTTAATGCCCATTCGTGATAAAAAAAAAAATAATAATGTAAAAATTTAAATTTGTAAAATGATAAAATAATTTAAAACAATCTAATAGAATAATGATTTAACTAATATAAAAATGATTAATTTAAACAAATATAATGATACTTTAATAATAGATTAATGATAAAGTAATTTTATGATTAATAATTATAGAGGTTAATAATTTAATGATATAATTTATATACATAATTAATTTGTTTTATGACATAATTTATTTAGTTAATAAAATCAAAATTTAATGAAATAATTTATTTAATGATGTAATTAAAAAAATCCAAATATCCAAAATTAAGCTTATTTTATTTAACAACATAATTTATTTAATGATATAATTTAAGAAAAAACGGAAAATTAAAAATTAAGCACAAATTAGACTTTACTGTATATTTAATTAAATTTAATATAATTAAAAAAAAACCGAAATCCGAAAAAAATTAAAAATCCGAAATCCGAAAAAAAGAAAAAACCGAAAAAAAAAATCAAAAATAAACCAAAACCCGAAAAAAAAGACAAAAAAATCGAAACTTGAAAAAAAGAAAAAACCGAAACTCGAAAAAACAATCTGAAATAAATTCCAATCCCCCAAAACCTGTAAAAAAAAAACCAAAACCTGAAAAAAAAAATCTAAATTCGAAAAAAAAAATATAAAACAAAAAAAAAACTCAAAACACGAAAAAAAAATTAAAACGCAAAAAAAAATTCAAAACATGAAAAAAAAAATTCAAAATTCAAAAAAAAGAAAATGACCCCGAAACACCCCAAAACACAAAATCTGAAACTCAAAAAAGCTTAAATTTAAATTTCTGCATATCTCCATTCCATCATCCGCATATACTTTTCCATCCCAGTATATCGGACTTCGCGCTTTATTAATATGGGCCTCGACCCTGTTCGATCGATGGAGGCTTTTAAAGAGTCAAAGAAAAAGATCAAAATCTATAGAACAAGTGAATGTAAATTACATAATGTCTTCTTATTGTTCGCCATTAATTAATCATTATTGTTGCAGGTTAATGTTCGCGATACTCCGGTTAAATATCGGTCACATGACTATCGTCGCGTCTTTGACTGTTTAATTTTACGCCCTACAATATGCTAACAACAGTATCCTTTAATTATACTATATATATATATTTATTTATTTAACTAATGTATAATATGTTTGATAATATAAGTGTAGTATAATAAGAGTTAATAAAACATGTGCGATAGGATATACTAGTCTAATTATATACCTATAATTCCAAATATCCCAACTTTAAATTTCTCCCCTTTTCAACTATTTAACGATGATTGCATAATATATTTGCAAAAAAAGTATCAATAATGTATCCAATTTTTGCCCAATGATCAATCGTATGATCAATTGCATACTCTATTACATATAATTCTCCATGGTTTACATTTTCATTTATTAATTCTTTATTTTTTTGAAATTCGTCTAAAATTTGTTTCCAAAAGTCTAATTTATAAATTTACAATTAGCCATCATCGTATGACATATTAATGATAATAGTTAAATTTTACCTGATGTTTCTTTCAATTTTAAAATTTCAATCTCTTTTTAATGCGTTTCAATTCGACAATCAGACGATCCATAAACAAATTTTTATCTCCTTTTTCATTTAATTCTCGTAAACTATCGTATCCATCCTCTACTTTCTTTGTTAAAATAATAAAATTAAAATTAAAATTGACAATAACTTAATATACAGTAACTACATAAAAAATTTTAAATTACCCTCTTATAATTTGTAATATGAAAGAGTTCTTTGGATTTTCGATTCCATTTGTCGACCTTGTTCTTTTTTTCTAACGTTTGTTCGTATATATTTTTTTCCGTTTTATTTTCAATATTCTGAAGTGACTCTTTAAGTTTCGCAATTGCACTGTTACGAAATTCATCAAATTTCCTAAATTGGTAATAAAATATTTTGCACTTTTCGATGGATTCGTCAATATAATTTAAATAAGGGTCAACTAAATTTTTGATTTTCCCTCGAGAGTCAAGATTATTCTTCAATCCTTTGACGAATTCATCGTGATTTTCAGAAAAATACGAAAGGATGTTAGACGCAAAAAATAACCCTTCGTTGATTGATTCTCCTAACTTAGCTGAATAATCATTAATTTTTTTAAGATCATCTAGTAAGCCAATCTCCATGAAATTGCCGAATATTTCCTTGAATAAAAATTCCACATTATTTATTGTAACCTCAGGTATCTCATAAAAATACGTCGGATTTATGTCAATCTTTGGGTCAAAATCACGTCCATCCCTTTGATTAATTGCAAACTCAAATGATTTGCCGGATTCACTATAATAGATAATCTAGTAAGACGAATGTAACATTTTCAATTTTTTTTTATGCTTTAATAAGATCTATTATATAATTACCTCCTAATAGTTATATTAATTAAGAAATTTATAATTAATTTAATTTAGTTGAAAAAAAAATAAAGCATTTTATGTTTACTTTCTAAAAAAATACTTACGTCCTAATTTGCAAATATTATGTTTAATGGTCAATCATTTAATAAAATTATAAGAACCAAATTTTGCACTTACAAACTAATAAATTTAGAACCAGCAAATTTATATTAAAGAGATACTTGTTCTCAGTGATCAATTTTATAGTTTTAAATTATATACTTACGATCTGAAATTTTGAAAGTAAAACGAATTTATTATTATAAAATGATTATAAATAAATATCAAAAGTACGATAACCCAATACTTGCTCCCTTTTACGCATAAATCATTATGTTACTTATCAACAAATTTTTGTTAAATTGGTCCATATGATAAAAGTTATACTCACGTTCTAGTAATTAGATATATATAAAATATTAATTTTTAATAATAAATTAATTTTTAATGGAAATAAAAAACTTATAATTCACCGTCTTTAATTAATACGTAAATGTATAATCAATATGCAGTAATAGTAAATTGAAGAAAAAAGAGCATTTTATACTCACTTTCTTTTAATGTGTAAATACAGAAGTTAGTAACATGCAATTATTATAAGCATTAATTCATACTTACTGCCTAATAATTTTTGAGATAAAATAAATAAATAGGTATTTGAGCAAATATTAAAACGTGAAAAATAATTAATAAACAAAATGACCGATAGCTTACAAACTTGCGATTAAAGATGAGATTAATTATTTTATAATTAATTTCGACATCTAAATGCCATAAGTAATCAATTAAATATCTACAGCCTGACAATTTTAAGCTGACAATTTTAAACAAATAATTTAATCTTTATACTCACAAGTCGGTATAAAATGTGTTTAAATTCTATCGGTGCATTAGTATTTAGATAAACCTTATACAGTACTTACATCCTGATAATACTGTAGATCAAAATAGATCATGATATATGTTAGAAGTTTTATTGCACATAAATGACCTTAGTATTTTAATTTAAATAAACTTAGCATCTGTCTAATAATCTGACATGAAAATTAAACAAATTGTTCAAATAAGGTGTAACGATAAATTTGTACTCACTGCCTATTATTTGACGCAAATATGTTAAATGATATTTGTAGATATTTATAATAGACATACCCTATACTCACTCACTATTAATTAACATACAATAAAAGCATTAATAAATAACATTTATATACATTTAATAAAATATGCAAATAAACCTTTACTCACTCTCTATTATTCAACACGAAAATCATTTAGCAATTAGTATTTGCAAATGACTTTATCAATAGGTAAATGAAGTTCTTATTTACAATCTATAATAAAAATGAAACAAATTAAGGGTGCTTATAGTTATATAATACAATATTTAAATGAATTTAAACTTACTTCCTGTAATTTTAAAAAAAGAATCAATACAATGCTCATACATATTCTTATATAATTACTGTTAAATTTTTTACTCACTCACTGTTAATTGAATGGAAAATAAATTACAATAACATTCGTATTTAAAATTAAAGAACTTCATACTTGCCGACTATAATTCAACAATGTAAATTAACGATTAAAATTAGCATAACTTTAAATATTATTAAATAAACAAACAGTATACTTACAGCCTAATAATTTATCACAAAATAAGTTTATTATTAATTTAAAGGCTTATTTTAATATCCCGTTATACTTGCCGACTAATTATTTAACGCAAGGAAAGAAAAATTAATTAATAAAAAATTCTTATAAATATATATATAATATTTAAGTAAACTTATACCGTCTGCAATTGATATTGAAGTTTTGGCATTTGATATTTAAAATTCTTCTACTTTTATATAAACTTCATACTTACAGTCTAATAATCAACAGGATAAATTAAAAATCAAATTTATGATAACATTTAATATACAACGTTTAAATAATTCTATACTTACTCACTGTTAATTTAAATACGCAATAATTTAAAAAAAACAAACGTCATATTGAAAAAAAACTTTTTAAAAAATTTATACTTACTCTCTAATATTTTAACATACAATTAATAAAATCAGTATATTAATCTTTAAATCTAAATTATTTACGATTTATACTTACATCCTATTATTTTTTATCAATAAATAAATAAATTATTTAGCAATATTTCTAGAAACTCAGATGAATTTAATAATTTAACTTACTCCCTGTATTTTAATATAAGAATAAATAAAAATTACTAATAATATAAATTCTGAAGAATGGTATGAATTTATACTTGCAATCTAATAAATCAATATGAAACAATCCATTATTTAGGAATAATTAAAGACACTTTGATAAGCATTATACTCACTTCCTAATAGTTTAACAAAATATATCACCAATAACATTTACAGATACTTTAATATATAAATTTAAAAGGATTTTTTGCTTACTTCCTGTTAATTGATAAACCAATTAAATGACATCCGTTATGTCTAATTTTTAAATTTTTAATACTCACGTCGCGCTAAATTAATGCAAAATAATTAAATAATATATATAGAATTATGATTATTAATTTAATTATATGTACATTCTAACATATTAACTCAAATGCTTAATAATTTGACAAAATTCTTATGAATATGTAAAATAACAAACATAGTATATATACTTACATTCTATTAATAGGAAAATATATAGATTAATGGCATTTTATAAACTAACAATAAAATATAATTTGACACTCACATCCTAATGAATAAAAATAAATTAATTATCAAGCAAAAAAAACATCGCAGCATAGTATTTATATATACTTACAACCTAATAATTGAACATAAAAATCAATTTTAATGTTATGTAATATTAGCGCAATGATAAATAAGCCTTATACTCACATTCTTTCAATAATAAATAAATTAAAATAGTGTATTTTTATGTAAACTCAAATGTAATAGTTATATAGGAATTGATAATACTCTCTATTGATTTAGTATGATAAACAATTTAATATTATTCGTTAACACAAATGGAATTTTTAAATAAGCCATATACTTACAATCTAATAAAAATTAAAAATAATTAGTAATGTGACAATTCAAAGATACTTACATATTTTTAAAAAACCATACTTACAATCTAAATGCATGTCATTAAAATAAATAAAAATTAATAACGTAAAATAATTTTATTATTTTAATTAAGTATAATCAATACTTACGACCTATTAATTTAATGTAAAAAATTACGTCAGTATCCATAAACGATTAATAGTTTACTATTATAAACATTCATTCTATAATCGAGAAAAATTTATATTTACGCCCTATTAATTTAGCATAAAACAATAAATATTTAATAAAATACACATTAATTAATATAATAAAGAAAGTTTTGTACTTACGCCCTGTTATTTTAACACAAAAATAATTAAGAATTAAATACTACTCATATAAATTATTATAATTAAGTAATCTTTTTACATACATCCTGTTAATGTAGCACAAAATATATATAAGAGTTAAATATTAATTATATTAATAATTATAATTAAGAACACTTTATGCTTACCGACTGTTAATTTAACACAAAAATAGTAAAAAGTTAAATCTTATTATTATTAATTGTTATAGTCGAACAACCTTTATACTCACACCCTGTAAATTTAAATCAAAAATAATGAAGAGTTAAATGTTATTTATATTAATTATTATAATTATGTATACTTTATACTTACGCCCTGTTAATTTAACACAAAAATAATCAAGAGTTAAATATTATACACATTAATTATTATAATTAAGAAAACTTTTTGCTTACGCCCTGTTAATTCCACAAAAATAATTGAGTTAAATATTATTTATATTAATTATTATAATCAAGCAAACTCTTTACTTACCAACTGTTAATTTAACACAAAAATAATTAAGGGTTAAATATTATTCCTATACATTATTATAATTAATCAAACTTATACTAACTAACTGTAATTTACACAAAAATAATTGAGTTAAATATTGTTCATATCAATTATTATAATTAAGTCAACTCTATACATACTCTCTGTTGATGTAACACAAAAGAATTAATAGTTAAATATTATTCATATCAATTATTATAATGAAGCAAACTTTATACTTACGTCCTGTTAATTTAACAAAAATAATTATAAGTTAAATCTTATTATTATTAATTGTTATACTCGAACAACCTTTATACTCACACCCTGTAAATTTAAATAAAAAATAATTAAGAGTTAAATGTTATTTATATTAATTATTATAATTATGTATACTTTATACTTACGCCCTGTTAATATAACAAAAATAATTAAGAGTTAGATATTATTCATATAAATTATTATAATTAAGTAAACTTTATATTTACCAACTATTAATTTAAAACAAAAATAATTAATAGTTAAATATAATTAAAATAAATTATTATAATTAAGCAAACTTTATACTTCCTGTCAATTTAACATAAAAATAATTAAGAATTAAAAAATATTCATTATAATTAAGCAAACTTTATACTTACAAACTATTAATTTAACAATAATTAAGAGTTTAATATTATTTATATTTTTTATTATAATTAAGCAACCTAATACTTACTCCCTGTTGTTTAACAAAAATAATCAGGAGTTTAATACTATTTATATTGATTGTTGTAATTAAGCAAACTTTATACTTACAAACTATTAATTTAACACAAAAATAATCAAGAGTTAATCTTTAATTATATTAATTATT